GGGGAAGCTAAGTACCATTTGAGACTGTGGGGAAGCCAGCCTGAGGTGGAAGCCAAAGCACAGAGAAGAGCCCAGCGTCCAGAAATGCAGAGAACCAGCACCAAGGTCCTGACCAAACTCCTGGACTTTTCAGTTGTGTGAGCAGTAAATCCCTGCTGTTGCTATTTAAGTGAGTTTGACTTGATTTTTGATCCTTCCTTCTAGAAAGCATACCGAAGCATCCATACCTTCCCCTCCCTGGTCCATGTTGCCTGAAATTCCTACCACTGCCCTCCATTCCAGACCTCCGTGTCAGACAGGCAGAAGGGAAGGATTTAAGATTAGACGGCTTCATCAAAGAATGCTTCACCAAGAAAGTTCTGGGGACGCCTAGCATAACCAAATGAATTTCTGAGCTCCGTTCCCTCCTGTCTCTTTCTGCCCTTCATGTTTTGTTTTGCTTTTTGCTGTTTACACAGAAAGACCACCCTTCATCTGGTTCGTATGTTCACGTGCCACCAGTTTTCAAACCCCAGCTCAAGTGCTAGCTTGTCCTTGAAGCCTCAGCTGGAAAAAACAGCTCCCTCTCAAATGATGGACCTCTCTAGTCCGTGTGTCCTGCCCGCACTCAGTATCCCCCACAGACTAACTCCACTGGGAGATGTCTGCCTGCAAGAGAACCCGTGGGTTGATCTTTTGTGTTCTCCCCAGCTCTAGCATGTTGTGGCTGGGCCTTCCGCACTCTTCAGAAGTAGACATGTTTAGGGGCGCCTGGGTGGCTTAGTCGGTTAAGCGTCCGACTTTCGCTTAGGTCATGATCTCACGGTTCGTGGGTTCAAGCCCCGCGTCGGGCTCTGTGCTGACTGCCAGCTCAGAGCCTGGAGCCTGTTTCAGAGTCTGTATCTCCCTCTCTCTCTGACCTTCCCCTGCTCACGCTGTCTCTCTCTCTCTCCTAGAAATAAATAAAACATTAAAAANAAAAAAAAAAAAAAAAAAAAAAAAAAAAAAAAAAAAAAAAAAAAAAAAAAAAAAAAAAAAAAAAAAAAAAGAAGTAGACATGTTTAGTGATTGAAAAGCACAGCGCAATTGTGGGGATGCGCACTGGGTGTTATGTGGAAACTAATTTGACAATAAACTATTTGTAAAAAAATAAATAAAAATAAAATAATAAAATTAAAATAAAATAAAAAAAAGAAAAGCACAGCGCAAACAGGTTTCCCTTAGGAATGACAGGCCAAGGAAATGCCTAAAGCAATGGTTCATCAGCATCACCGGGGACTCATCAGAAATGCAAATTCTTGGGACCTTCAACTTCAGAAACTCTGGGGGTGGGACCCAGTAGCCTGCGTTTTCACACGTTCCCTCAATTCTGTTGCACTTTAAAGTTTGAGAACCACTGGACTAGAGGAAAATCTGAAACTTCTGACTAAGGAGCGAATGAGCCTGGTGATCCAAGAGCAAGATTGAGGTCCAAGTGAAGATCAAGGTGAGTTGTGCATCCCAGGAGTGCTGGGAGCAGCTATGGAGGAGACGGCTGTGGAAGGGGTAGAGTGCTATGTATTCAGAAGCGAACTATCCAGAACTGATATCTCCTTCAACCGGTGTCCGTCTCTTCAACGTGATGTCCCTAGTCACCGGGTCAGTGCCAGGAGGGGGCACGCCGGCAGCAACCTCATTGAGGGCTCTACACATTTTAAAATGTTGTCTTCTCTCATGGAGGTTGGGTATTTATTCTTTCCTTTTGCCAATCCTAAGATGGCATGCTTACTTTCTCCCAAGTCTCTTTACATTTCTGAATTTCTAGATTTCCATTTTGGCAGAATGAAGCCCAGAATAACAGGGTTCTTTGTGAACCTGTCAGTAACCCAAGCAAAGAATTTATCGAGCGGCTCTGATATGCCTGGGAAAAAGCTGTGGCGCAGCTCAGTAAAGACAGGTGCAATGATAAAGATATTGATAAAATTCTTTGGAACTGTTCCATGAGGCCTGCTTCTGATTCCTGAACGCTCCGGCCCTCCGTGCCTGACTCACCCTCACTCCAGACCAAGGAAGCACCCTGTTCATTATGAACTTTCATCACTGACTTTGAAATTCCAGCCATGGCTCCTGAGATGCCCACCCAGCTACTGTCTCTACTCAGCCCCCCATGGCTAGTCCATTCCAGAATGTTCTCACATCCCCTCACTCCACAAAGTCTCTGTCCAAGCAAAAAGGGAATCGATGCAAGGCTTCACTAGAATCTTTGAGGAAAGACTGGACTTGTGCCTTTATCTTCATAATAAGCACAGATACCACCTTGTATGCCTCAGTTTACCTCTACATTCTATTTCTACGGGTTGCAAAAACTCATATTTAAGTATGGTACTGATACATACTAGAAAGCATCAGATGATGTTGATAAATTTTTACCTCTTTATTTAGATGATAAATACACCATCAACCATTTTCAGATAAAAGTAGTGTTTCTTATTTATTGCAGATGAATTCTAAGCTATAATCCTTTTTTGTTTTGCTATGAGACACACTGTTTTTAAATACAGAATTTTCCTTTAAAAATCTAACTTTCTGTTTTGTTTAATCATTGGAGTGACGTTGGGGCATGTGGGTGCCTCAACTGGTTAAGCGTGACTTCAGGTCAAGTCATGATCTCATGGTTCATGGGTTCGAGCCCCACGCTGGACTCTGTGCTGACATCTCAGAGCCTGGAGCCTGCTTCGGATTCTGTGTCTCCCTCTCTCTCTCTCTGCCCACCCCCCACCCCCCGCTCATGCTCCATCTCTCTCTCTTTCTCTCTCTCAAAAATAAATAAACATTTAAAAATTTTTAAAAATAATCATTGGGCTGATGTCAGAAATATGTAGCTTCCACCATTTTAGTAGTTTATATTATGAAATCATTCAGAAGTTTTAGCAAAAAAAAACTTCTGAAGTTTTTAAAACTTTTTTAATATGTATTTATTCTTGGGAGACAGAGAGACAGAGTGCAAGCATGAGAAGGGCAGAGGGAGACACAGAATCTGAAGCAGACTCCAGGCTCTAAGCTGTTCAAGCCTGGTGCGGGGCTTGAACCCACAAAGCATGGGATCATGACCAGGGCCGAAGTTGGACGCTTAACCGACGGAGTCACCCAGGCGCCCCGAGAGAAGGTTTTTATTTAGCCAAGAAGAAGAACTGGCCTTTGGGGTGAAGCTGGGATGCAACAGATACCTTAGGTATATTTCCTCATGTAATCCCCATCATTCCTGTCAGAGGGGATGCTGGTCCTTCATTTTACAGATGAGAACCTTGGCATTCAGACAGGCTGAAAAACTGTGCGAAAGTCGGGATTTGATTGGAAATCTGACTCCAGAGCCCGGGCTTTACTCCTCAGCAGCCCCTGCTTACCCAACCACCCCCAGATTAGAAGTTTGACGGTGCCCTTCTAACCCACGCTGATATCCATGCTGTAAGTGTGTGTGGGGTGCTAAATAATGAATTAGATTGGGGCGGGGATTTTTGCAGGTGTCAAATACAGGAATTCCACCCTACCTACGAGTCTTCCCCAAATTGTGACTGAGGGTTTTGCAGAAACCTCAAAAGGCCAGTGTCATTCGGCAGCAAACTTGCTTCAGTTTGTTTTAAATCCTGATTTCCAAGATCTGAACATGCTTGATGACCATCAGTGCCTCCTGATACAGGATTTGCCAGCCTGTTGCTTCAGAAGGTCGCTTGCGACATCCTGAATTTTGGCTCAGAAGCCTCACAGCAAAGAAGCTCATTCAATTTACCCTTAGCTGGTATGCTATTTAAAAAAAACATCTCTTACCATTCTTGGCTAATTAAGCTTCAAAAATGAAGGATACCTTTACTTAAGGAAAAGATTGGGGAAGGGAAATAGTAGAGCAGAAGCAGCTCTAAATGCTGTTCTTGCTTTTATCTATTTTTAAATGATTGCCAGATGTCTGTAACTGACACCCTCCATCGGTGATTTTAAAGTTTAGATGTGTTCATCAAAATGTAATGTGACCATGTTTCCATTTTATCTATGGATTTTTTGATTGACTTTTTGCCTTACATTTTTAAAGAATCTATTTAACTACTCCAGTACTACATCATGCCTAGAGTTAAAAACACGGTATTGTACACTTTAAAGTTCATTGAGAGGGTAGCACTCGTGGTAAGTGTTCTTACCACAGTTTTTTTTTCTAGTTCTTTTTTTTTTATTTTTGAGAGAGAGAGACAGAGTGTGAGCGGGGGAGGAACAGAGAGAGGGAGACACAGAATTTGAAGCAGGCTCGAGGCTTGGAGCTGTCAGCACACAGCCCAATGCGGGGCTTGAACTCACAGACCGTGAGATCATGACCTGAGCCGAAGTTGGATGCCTAACCGACCGAGCCACCCAGGTGCCCCAACCATAGTTTTAAAAAGAAAAGGGAAAGGAAAGGAAAGCAGATCTACTTAATGATTCGGTGACTGTCTGCCTCAGCCATTTTGAAATGCCTGATAGCTTTTCAGCAATTGGCCAGGCAAGATAGTACTGTGTCTACCCTGAAAGTGGGGATTTTCAATCATTCATATCATCCAAGCAAAACAAATAACTTTTGACTAAAATGCTCAAATATTTCAGGCGAAAGGCTCTGGGGCCTGAGTCACCTGGATAATTACCTCGGTTTTTCATGTTACTCTGCAGAGCCTTGGCAGATCACTCCTTTGAATCGTCCTATGTGGGTTTTTTTTTTTTTTTCTAATTGTCGAGATAGCCATAATGTGAAAGAATCTATATCCATTACTATCAGGCCAAAATAAACAGACATGAAAAATTATCATTCCCAAAAAGGGTTTGAATGGATCTCAACTGCAGATGATAATTGGGCCATTTTAAAACCCTGGATGGCCAAATACGCCCTATACCCCCGACTTGCTTCCTCTTGTTGTGTTTTGTAAGGAAACCATCTGCCTTATTTGGTATTGCAGAAAAGGCAAACAACTACTCATGTAAAACACAGCCATTCCTCATGTAAAATCCGAAGTCCAGATACTTACTTTTCAATACTTTTCGTCCAAGAGATGTGATTGGAGGGCTGGCTCGGCTGTGGGCTCCCCAGGCTGTGTGGGAGGCATTGATTGGGTGTCCCTGCTCCTGGGACTGGGGATTCAGAGGAGTTATGGGGTTCAGGGTCTTTTCGACGTTCCCAGAAAAGCTCCTATCTTCCTAAGAGGGAAAAATTCCGTGCCCGGGGAAGTTCCTGAAGAAGACATTTTTTCCCCCTGCCCTTGAATGAACTAGGTCATTGCTGAAGCTGGAGAATATTTTTTAGCATCACTGTGATGAAACTTGAGGGCTGTTTCTGCAGTAGGTGTGACACTTGTTGACGCCGCCGGGGAGGCCCTGGCAAAGGGGCCTGGTGAAATGCAGCCCCACAAGCTGATGAAACCCAGACGAGCTGTCCCTGAGGCTCGGGACACCGCACGGCATTCTGCCAGGTTGTGCAGGACCTCGGGGTTAGTGGCTTTGCCTCTTAGAAAAGCAGGATCTTGCTGCCCGATAAAGTCTTTTGAGGCCGGAGTAGCACCAGCAGCTTCCATACCAAGATTACCAGGCATTTGAAGAACACATAGGAAACCCGTGGACGGGCCGAGGGGGCGGAGCAGAGGTGAAAAGAAGAGGCATTTGCTGTTTAGAACTAGTACTGCAGTCTTTCTCTGAAGTTCTCTGAAAAACGCAGAAGCCACAGCAAGGCAGGATCCACCCTCCTCCTCCTCCTCCCCCAGCGGTCCTCCCCCGCCCCTCTGCCTCGCTCTCTCTCTCTCTCTCTCGCTCTCTCTCACACACACACACACACACACACTCTCTCTCTCTCTCTCTCTCTCTTTCTCTCTTCCTATTTTGATTAGAGTAGTAAGAAGAGAATAGAGGAACACCAGAAGAAAACCATAGAAGAAATACCATAAATCCTTTCAAACTGTTAAGAAGTATTCCTGTTACATACCAAAGTAGGATTTGTAACATGGCCATTTCTTCTCCTGAATTTTGTCCAAATCCAAGACAGAAAATTTACAAAATCCAGAAGCATTATTCTGGAAGCACGTAACTGCTTTGCCCTTCTGGAAAAGTATTTTAATGTGCCACACCTGGAAACTGACAGCTTGGAAAGGAACTTCTTAGGGACACTCACGCAGTCGGCTAAAATTAGCAGCTCTAAGTGGGTGACTTTGAAAGGGACGTACCCTGACATGTTCCCTCTGCAGTGGGCAGTATAATCGTCAAAAGCAAACTGTGCATCATTCTACATGGATGGAATGAAAGTTTCCACAAGATGAAAAGTCATCATCTAAAATTATTAAGCATCAAGACCTATATACGGTTGATATGTTGTTTCTCAGTTTTATCTTCATATGAGAAGAAAGATATTGAAAGCTGGGAGACTCTAAAATAATGACGGCATCCTTGGTTACACATCTATGAAATGCAACCAAATGCAGCCCTTGGTGATTGTGGGTATTGGGTGGTTTTCTTTATACCTGAATCTGCTTCACAGAGGATCGTTCCAAATAAAAGAAGAGAACATGAAGTTGAGAGAGCAGATAGAGGAAGGTGTGATGATCAGAAAAGAAATAAAAACTATCACAGAACAGCAGGACAGGATAAAGACAAAAGGGAACCAAATCCCAATGCAGGAGACAGACATACAAGGTCATGAAAGAATTGTTGCTTGGGAGATTTTAAGTGGAAAAGTTGACGCTCGTTATGAAATTTAATTTTGTTCCTGATAAACAGCCTTAAAGATGAACCCCTCAAATGCCTATCATTCATCTCCTAGTAAAATAAACTTAAGGAGCAGAGGATTAAAATATATATAAATATATGTTACATATTTATAATAAATACATATATATTTTATATATAATGAATTTGCCTATATGTGTTTTACTGTTCATCTCATTAGCCTCGCAGCCATAGAATTTCTTAGGTTTGGAGAGCAAGAATCGAAGACAATCAGAAACAGACTTTGGGATTAAACTCAATTAAGCCAGGACACCATTCTGAATTTTCTGATTATTCAAAGGAGAGGATGGAAGGTTTAAGATGTTGAAGAGAAAAAGGAAGGCATATATTTTGGTCCCTTCCATAGCATCAAAAAATACATGATTAAAAATGAAGACCTAAAAATATTTAGCACTATTTCAGGTAAAGTAGCATGGCACATAAGAAAATATGTGTAAGTCATCTCTTTTTCTGAAGCTATAGGAAGAAAAACAAAACCTTCCCTTTATAAGGGGATTTTCCAACCAAAGAGCAGAGTTGAAAACGTATTTTTTTTTTTATCAGATGTCTTTTAATTGCTTCTCTTAAGGGCCTTTAAGGCTTTGTTATTTTCTTGGCTTCTCAAATGAATGGGTGCCTCACAATTCACCGGCCACTCTAGGCTTGCTGAGGACTGAGATCCGCTGTGGACTGAGTTCCGGTCGGGTCCCAACTAATCTGAATATTTAAAGCCAATTCATTAGGTCCTTGAGCTGCTCTTCACTCCCATAAATCGGGCTTGGATTGGTACGTGAGGAGTTTATCTGCTCATTTTATCCCTCCTGGCACAGAAGGCCCTCAGATGTTCAAGTCTAATGGTAGGAGTGATGAATGCCCTTTCCAGGAGAGCACATTCTTGGCTGAGGCTTGGTACCAATCACATGTCAGCTCAGATCAGATTTTCTGCCAGGGTCCTTGGGCCAAGCTGGAGCTGAGACAGCTACTCAGCTTCAGGGGACAGTCAGCATTTGGGGAGAGTGCCCCACAACTGAGAGCATCAGTGCAGAATTCGCTGTCTCTCAACAGTCCACCCCTGCCCGGGGCTCAGGGGTTCCGGTAGCACCCTGTGTGTGGTGTCTTGCTTGGTGGACACAACTCTAATCCAACTTTGCAGCCTTCCTTCAGTTCCCCATACTGCCAGGCAGGCAGGCCAACTCAACAGGCATTTTGATGCCTTCAGTACAGTGGCCACAGAAGTATCAGTATAAATAGGACTGCATTCTCTCACGGCGTTTTTCATCCCAGGTTCGCAGATTTCTATAAAATTCTTCCTGAGATTTTGAAGCTTCAAAATATGTAAAAAATGATTTTTAAAATGCAATTTTATCGGGCCGCTGGTGACTCAGTCAGTTCAATGTCCAACTCTTGATTTTAGCTGAGGTCACAACCTCATGGTTTGTGAGTTTGAGCCCTACATCAGGCTCTGCATGGATTCTCTGTTCCCCCCCACCCTGTCCCTCCTCTGCTCTCTCTCTCTAAAAATAAATAAATAAACATTTAAATAAAATAAAATGCAACTTTATCAGAATTCATATATCCATGATGTTTTTTTCCAAACATTTGAATGTTGTTAGGAAGTCTGAGTTCATTTTCCCCTGGTGTATCAGATTCTAAACCAGGATTAGGTTCACAGAACACCTTACAAGTATTTAATCCATCAAGTTCCCAAAGTACTAGATTTCAGGGGTGCCTGGGTGGTGCCTGGGTGGCTCAGTCATTTGAGTATCTGACTCTTGATATCAGCTCGGGTCATTATCTCAGGGTCGTGGGATGGAGCCCTGGGATGAAGCCAGGCTCCGTGCTGAGTGTGGAGCCTACTTAGGATTCTCTCTCTCTCTCTCTCTCTCTCTCTCTCTCCCTTCTTCTGCCCCCTCCCTTCTCCTCTCTCCCTCTGCCCCTCTATCCCAGTCTCCCTCACTGTCTCTCTCTTTCTAAGTGAAAAAACAAGAACAGCAAAATACCATATTTCTGCTTCCTAAAACCAGAAGTATCAAAACTAGGTTAAAATTCCATTTAACTAAGTCTAACTATCTGCAAAAGAAAATCCAGACTTTGACTTCCAAGATAATGTGGCACAGTTTATTTTAGTTTCATTTTTGAAATAGCCATTAAAAAAGCATTACAGCTCTGAGAACAAGGGCAAAATTCCAATTTTCATAAATGTGTATGTGAAGCCCAAGACCCAATTTCACAAGTAATTAATTAGTAAAGTTAATTACTTGAACAGTAGATGGAAATTTAAATTTAAAAAATATTTGTGTATGCTCTTTATACTAAGTAGTTTATGAAACTTTCCTTTTTAGGGCTTTTCCTCTGACCGTAAGAGCAATACTAACTCATTACTGAAAATTACCCACTCATTACTGAAAATCTTTAATATTTTGATTTTTGAAATCACCCACTACCCACCATTGTGGCATATTTCCTTCTATCTGCTTTATTTTCCCTTTCTGCATGCTTATACATTCAGAAAGCGACATTAGTGGGTGAAAAATTATGAATATTTTAAGGTTTTGAAACATATTGCCAAATAAAACTCTAGCAGTTATATTGCATTTCCACCGGCCGGTATGCACCCACCCATCTCCCTAAGAGGGCAACTACTGGCACTAAGCACATTGCTGAAAATGTCTGGCCAATTTAAGAAGCAAAACTACTGTTTTAATATACATTTCTTTGATTACTAATGAGACTACATACCGTTCCATAAGTTCATTGGCCCTTTTTCTTTCATGAATGATCCCTTCAATTTTTTTTGCTCAACTTTGCTATTTGAGTATTTTCCTTTGGCACATATAAACGCATTTCATATGTAATTTGCTGCAAATAGGCTCTGTCTTCCGATCTGTGGTTTGCCCTTTTATTTGGGAAGTTCTGACATACAGAAGTTACGCATTTTTATTTACTAAAAATTATCTCAGGGCAAGCAGGAAAGGAGGGATTGTTGTTTAATGAGTTGTGAGTTTCAGTTTTGCAAGACAAAAAAGTTCTGGAGTTCTGTTTCACAACAACGCGAATATACTTAACACTCCTGAACTGCACACTGAGAAATGGCAAATTTTGTTATTTTTCAAACCATAAGAAAAAAGAAAACTATCTTTTTTTTTTTTTTACAAATAGTTTATTGTCAAATTAGTTTCCACATAACACCCAGTGCTCATCCCCACGAGTGCCCTCTTCCATGCCCACCTCCCCTCCCCCCTACATCCATCAGTTCTCAGTTTTTGTCAGCATTCAAGAGTCTCTCATGGTTTGCCTGTCTCCCTTTCCCCCACCATTTAAGAAAACTATCTTTTTTCCCATGGTCTCTTCCTTGGCTTATAAAGCCTCCATACCTCTGTGCACTTACCAGCTATCCCATGTTGCTATGAGTAAAGTTGGGTTCGAATCAAACTCTTCTCCCTTTTTCATATCATTTCATCTGTCCCGGGGAATGTCCTGGATCAGTTTGTGTCTCTTTTCTTAACCCGGATCTCTAAGATTCTCAGTTTCCCTGACGCTTTAGGGGTTGCACCTTTTTCAACGAAGAGATTGATACAGAGAGGACTTTGGTTTAAAGATTTTAGATCCACACCCCGCCCCCACACCTAAAAATAGAATGAAATGGGAGTTAAGACTTTTTAAAGTTTATTTCTTTATTTTGAGAGAGAGAGAGCGCATGCACCCATGAGCAGAGAATGGGCGTAGAGAGAGAGTGAGAGAGAATCCCAAGCAGACTCCATGCTGTTAGCTCAGAGCCCAATGCAGGGCTTGATCTCACGAACCGTGAGACCACTACCTGAGCTGAGATTAAGAGTCAGACACGTAACGGACTGAGCTACCCAGGT